CACTATTTCTCTCCATTTGCATTCCCTCTTTATTACTGTCTCGCCAATAGTCCGCAGGAAAGGAGTCTTACAAACTGAAGGCAGAGCTCACCTGTAGAAGCGGAGGGCGACTTCTGGTTGATCAGAATAAAAGTGGTTGCTCCCAATGCATGCAATGGCCTCCATGTGAGTGTTGTCCTGTTTCAAAACTTCTTTGTAGTATTCGGAGGCCGATGAGATATTGTTCATTTCCTATTCTCCAGCAAGACAGAAGAGCAATAATTGACTGATATTGCCAAGATGTTACTTTCTGACTGGTTTACGTTTTCTTATTCATGTAAGTATTTATTAAGAACCTACCAGACTGTTCTAGGCCCTGGGGACACAATATAAACCAAAAAGATAAAGTTACTATCCTCAAGGAGACTGCATCTGGTAGGGAAGACCAACAAATGAACACACATGTGATGTGATGTTGGGCAAGGACCGGGATGGAGAGAAAGACAGAGCAGGGTGAGGAGGCGGAGGCTGCTGCTTCAGAAGGGGCCGCGGAGGGGTGCCATGTGCGCAGGCCTGGGTGAAGTGAGGGCTGAGACCTGAGCACATCTGCTGTACATACAAAACATCTCCACCGGCACGTGCAGTGTAGGCTGCGATGCTAGGACAAACTTCACTAGTGAACGCTAAAGCCACTGTCACATAAAGAGAAAAAGGACACGCTGGAAATCTTTGTGCGGTAAACTATGCGCCCAGGGAAACGAACTGTAAATCCAAAGGGAATGCTGCATCCGACCAGCTCACGTCTGTGCTTAGTCCTGATCACCCTACGGGCGCATGGCACTGTCCCCACGAGGACACTTTCCTCTCGACATCTTTCTTCCTCTGAGTGCGAAGTGAAATTCTCCCTTCCTCACAAAGCCCTCCCCTGTGCGCCCATAACAGGATATGTTCCTCCAACTCCTGGCCAACACGAAGCAGGGCAAGGAAGAAGGTAGCTGGTTAAAGGATCTGTGCCCTATCGCAGCCATGGCAACAGTGACTACCACAGAGGCATGGAGGGAACTCTGACCAGCAACCACAGGCTAGAGGTGCCAATGTTCTCTCGGTTTCTCTGCCAGCACTTCCTGCCTAAGGAAGACCGGCAGAAGGACTGGGATGTGAGAAGAGAGAGCAATGAAGGTGCAAGAGCATCGGACAGTCAACCCTATATATGAATGCCACTGGGTTCACAGCCCAGTTTATTACCCTTCCTTCCCAAGCTTCTTGGTCAAAATTCTGTTCAATGTGGAGTCACACACGTAAAGATACAGAGATATAGAATTTTTATTGAGTGATCAAAGTTCTCTATTTACACTAGAGGCCCAGTGCACAAAATTCATGCATGGGGGAGTGGGATGTAGATCCCTCAGCCCAGCCTGCACCCTCTCACAATCCGGGATCCCTCAGAGGATGTCCAACTGCCGGTTTAGGCCCGATCCCACAGGGATCCCTGCGGGATCAGGCCTAAACCGGCAGTCGGACATCCCTCTCACAATCTGGACTGCTGGCTCCTAACTGCTCACCTGCCTGCCTGCCTGATCGCCCCTAACCACTCACCTGCCTGCCTGATCGCCCCTAACCACTCTGCCTGCCTGCCTGATCACCCCTAACTGCTCGTCTGCCTGCCTGATCACCCCTAACCACTCTGCCTGCCTGCCTGATCGCCCCTAACCACTCTGCCTGCCTGCCTGATCACCCCTAACTGCTCGTCTGCCTGCCTGATCACCCCTAACCACTCTGCCTGCCTGCATGACTGCCCCCTCACCTGCCTGCCTGATCGCCCCTAACCACCTCTGCCTCAGCCCCCTGAGACTTCATCTGGAAGGATGTCCAGAATGATGTCTGGAAGTTCGTTTGGCTGTCCGGTCTAATTAGCATATTATGCTTTTATTATTATAGATGTTTATCAAAACTATATTTCAAAAAGAAAAACAACCTTCCCAGACAATTCAAAAATACTACTGTTTTTCTTTTTTAAAGTGATGCATGTTCATTACAGAAAATCTGGAAAATATTGAAATTGTAAAACCAAAAATGAAAATCATTCATATACTACTACCCAGATATAGAAACTATTAATATTTTTCCACTCTTTTTCTAACAAAATAATTTTTAAAATATCATAACTAGCATTTCAAGGCATTTAAAAGAGAACAGAGATGCTTCTATTAAATACTATATTGGAACTCCTAAACAATAAGATATTTTTTAGTTTGATAAAATAATTGAAATAAGAAATGAAACCATTTGTAGCTGATGATTATTTTATTACTTAGAAATTTTAAGAGAACCTGTGGATAAGGAATTAAAATTTAAAGAGTATTTAGCCAGGTTGCTAGTATCAAATCTACTTTTAAAAATTAATGCATTCCTACTAACCAGAAATAATCAAACAGAAAATACAATAGAAAAGAGGATCCCATTCATAGTTATACACAGGAATACATCTGTGCAGAAAAAGTTAACATAGCAGGTCTGAAACTGTTATTCCTAGAAAGATCGGTTTACAAGGTTGACCCCTGGGTGGCATCTCGGAACTTTGCTAGTTCCCTAGACTGATATAAAACTTTCCCAAATGATAAGAATGGCTCACCTCACCTACACTGTACAAACAATATCGTTTTTGCTGAACATGTGTTTGACTTTTGGGAGTCTGGGATTTGGGTACGTGATAGGCAGAGGGTGCCTATATGACCCACCCCTTGAAATAACCTGTATACCAAGTCTCCAATGTGCTTCCCTGATAGACACCGCTTGGCACACGTGGTCATAGCCTGTGGCTGAAAGAACAGGTGTGTCCTGTGTGAGTCCACGGGAGGTAGGGGGGTGTGGGGGGACTCTTGGAAGCTCGTGCCTGCTTTCCTCTGAACTCTGCCCCAGGTGCCTCTTCCCTTTGCTTCAGATCTTTCTAATAAATCACCCAACTTCAGGGTGGTTTTGGAGACCCCCAACAAAACATTTTTATGAGATAATTACAAAATATGTTGCAAAAAAAAGAGAGATCAAAATAAAAGGAGACATATTGAGAGTGGGAGGAAAAACAGCCCACCCCACCCCCTCATTCTTGTATTCAACTCAAGTCCAATCACTATCCCTGCACAGTTATTTTTAATGGTTCTTGACAAGTCAGTCCTAAAATCAATATGGGAGAGCAAAGGGCCAAGAATAACCAATTGTGAAGAAGAACAGGTACGGGGAATTATTGTAAAGCTAAAGTAATTAGGCAGCAGGGAGGATACCTCAATGGGGCTTTTCATGGAATTTGTCAACATGATGCTAAAATTTATAAAAAATAAGCAAAGTACAAAATAGCCAAAACATTCCTGATAATGATGAACAAAGTGCCCTACCAAATAGCAAGTTTTATAAAACCACAGTAATTAAGATGGTATAATATGGGCATAAAGTTAGACAAACAGACCAATAGGACAGAATAGAAGGCCCCACATCATGTCTACCATATATAGAAAAAAAATTATACTTGACATTATAGGCCTTAGGAAAAGGTCCATAAATGTACAATAAATGTACTGGGACCACTAGCAATCTATAGAAACTAACTTAAATCCCTATTTCATACTATTCTCTATACATTTATGTATGTTTGAAATACTGCTTAAGAAAAAGTCAGCTTTACTAAATGCATACACTAAAATCACTTACTCTGTTGGTAAACTACAGTCCAGCAGTCCTAGTTTTATAAATTTTTCTCCTTGCTAGGCCCCCACAGGACAATGGGCTTACTTAAGAAGCATATAACCTCAATTTTACATCAACTTTTTGAATACTATGAACCTCACCTCATAGATCCTGGCAATTCCACAAAGTAGGGTTACTTCTCCTGGAAACTTATCTAAGCCTTGTTTGAAAAGGTTTAAAGCAGTCACAGGTTGATCCAATGAGGTGTAAACCTAAAACCAAGATACAGTTCAGTAAAAGTACTGGTTCTTAAAATAATATAGTATTTGTTATGACAATTGGTTACATAGTTGCTTAGTAACAAATTATGTCCTAGAGATTACAGTAAAAATTATGTAGGATTTCCAATAATGATGTTATCATTTTATCTCCACATGCTGTATATGAAGCATTCATTCATTTATTCCTTCAACAAATGCTTATCGTGGGCTTATTATTGTCACAAAGACGGAGCAGTGAGTAGACAAAGATCAGGGGAAACTCTTTTTTAGGATAGAAGACATGAATATGTCTACAGGTTGGCCAAAAGAATCCATTATGAGACTGAAGTTGAAGACACTGGAGAAAGAAGGGAACAGGCCCTGAGAAAGAGCAGCAGGGGAGACCTTGTGGAGACGGTGGTTTTGGAAAAGGACCCTCAGAAATAGAGGGGAAACAGATTTGTGAGGAGTGTGGCCAGGATGTTGAGAGAGTTGGCACTTGATGGCTTTCATTTAATTAGCAATCAGGATATTAGCATGAATAACTCACATAGAGAATTTAAAAGGAATCTCTAAATTAGAGAATTATTTTATGTATAGAAACATAGGATTATGGCTTTTTTCCTTCATGACCATGGGTCCTCAATTTCTTCCTCCACAGCTAGTCTGTGCTTTGAAGAGGCCCAAATAGATACACAGGAAACTGTTTACAGTGTTTATTACCAAAATATAAGACTAGCGAGAAAGTATGGGTGAAAAATTTTTCAACTTTTACCTTATATATTTTTTAACTTCTTTTTAAAATATAATAAATTATATAATTTAATATGCTAAGTAATATAAAATATTGACTAATTATTTTTAAATTAACCATCTAGAATTGTAAGAAATAATTTTGTTCCTAAAATCTGCTGATCCCTATTACTTAACAATCATTCCTTCATATATTAAAAAAATAAGTAAATTTTACCTGTATACAGTCATGCAGACAATGGATTTAAACAAATTAATTTATGGAAAAATAAGTCAAACCATATAGTTAACATAGTTAAAATTAAAAGTACATTTTTTAACCATGTGGCAAGTGATTATCAACAAGATAGTAGTTAAATAGTATGACCTGAATTTTCATTTCAAGCTGTCAGAAAAGTTTTAAGTCTACTGTGATTCTTAGTAACTTCTTTAAGAGTTGAAGTTTAGCCCTAACCGGTTTGGCTCAGTGGATGGAGCGTCCGCCTGCGGACTCAAGGGTCCCGGGTTCGATTCCGGTCAAGGGCATGTGCCTTGGTTGCGGGCACATCCCTGGTGGGGAGTGTGCAGGAGGCAGCTGATCAATGTTTCTCTCTCAATGATCTTTCTAACTCTCTATCCCTCTCCCTTCCTCTCTGTAAAAAATCAATAAAATATATATTTTAAAAAAAAAGAGTTAAAGTTTAGTATATAAGGTGCAGTAGATTTAGGTACCAGACAGTTCAATCGTGTTTGGAACCACTGTACACGCACTAAGATTAGCACACTAAGTTCATAACACAGCTTTCATTAGTTTTCTTTCAGTATGCTAACGTTTAATACCTATTTACGACGTGGTAGCACTTCCATGTATATCTCATCCTCTTTTCAACCTCCTTCACCACACTTTTCAATTGAAAAAATTCTTAGAGGTACGGCACGATGACATCACAGCCACCAATTCATCAAATGTTTCGTTTAAAGTAGCCTTGGTGAGGGTCAAGAAGTAACTTTACCCCAATACTGAAAATTCTAGGTGTGCCCTCGCTTCTGCTGTGGCTGTGGGTGGCACGATGAGGCAGGGAGTAGGCTCCGGAATCAGAAAGTCCTGGGCCTGAATGCTGGCTCTCAACAGCCAGGTGACCCGGAAATCTCACTGATCTCCTTTCCTTAAGAGCAGAAAGGAAATATTGAAACCTACCTTGTGGAGTTGCTCTAGGGCAGCGATTCTCAACCTGTGGGTCGCGACCCCTTTGGCGGTCGAACGACCCTTTCACAGGGGTCGCCTAAGACTATCCTGCATATCAGATATTTACATTATGATTCATAACAGTAACAACATTACAGTTATGAAGTAGCAACGAAAATAATTTTATGGTTGGGTCACAACATGAGGAACTGTATTTAAAGGGCCAGAAGGTTGAGAACCACTGCTCTAGGGGTTAAATTAAATGCATATGGAACAGACCTGATACAATTCCTTACACTGAGTAGGTGGTCCATAGATGGGAAATATTGTTTTTGTTATTACGGCAGAGCCAAGAAATAAAGGACCTATGTAAAAACAACCCCTGTTTTGCACAGTCTGCTTAGGTAGGAGATAGTGTGTTGTAAAAAAAAAAAGGGGGGGCGGGGAGCCTGCACCCATAGGAGTGATAAGCCCGTGATATTTTCTGCTCTAATGGGCAATCTTTCAAAGGGGTTTTCTTCTTTTTCATGGCCATCAATTTCTCCTGAAACGGTTCTTCTCTATATGGTCTCACATTTTCCCTTGCTAAAAAGAAAAATAAGTTAAGTCTGAACATATTAGCTTGCCAAAATATTCCTGAAGAACCTAGCAACTCTCCCCATGCGCTGGCCAGAATTTACACAGTTCTGAGGAGGCAGATTCCACTCAGATTGGGAATACTTACCTTTGCCAAGTAGAGAAATGTATCTACCATTTCCTGCTGCTTCAGAGCTGATTTAAATTGCTTTTCTGCTTCACGATACATTCCTAACCTAAGAAAAGCCATTAAAAAATTAGGCATGCATCTTAAAAATACTCTAATATGCATTCATACCCTAAGGCTATGGATAGAGACAAATTACATCTATAAGAGTAAGCACGTAAAAAGAAGGTAATGCCCCCCCACATATTAATATTAACATGTAGTTTATATAGTTTAGTAAAACATTGTCTAGTTCCCATATTCACTGTCTATCTAACCCTCAAATGCTATGTAGTGTCTGCTGCAGTCTAGTCACAGCAGGACCAAGAGCTGCTGGTGAGCCAGGTCATACGGGTTCACCGCCCAGAGAGCTTATGATCAGCGGGACATATGGCAAGTGACCTGGATAAATGCTTAGAGTCTCTATTTTACTGGAAGAGCTAAAGGATGCCCTTTCTTAGAAAACATCATTTGCTCTGAGACAAAAATCCAAATTTCAAAACCATTTTTAAACAATGTTGATGTAAGTAGTAACTGCCACTTGAGTTGACAGCTAGACCATTTCGTCATTCTAGAAACATTTTCTTTTCCTCTTTTGGTGTCTGATGCCAACTGTCCTAGCCTACCACTGTGGGATTTGTTCCTCGTTTAACTGTAACTGTCCTGGTGTCAGCACCCACCCCTTCTGCCCGGGGGACATTTCGTTACCACTAACTCAATCATTACAGCATACTCAGCCTGTCTTTAATAGGTTGTTGGGCTTTCTTATAACTACTCCCCCCATACCCCGAGCCTTCTAGGAGCTACTTAGGCACTTTAATATTGCTTTTATTTTGTGAAATAAAGTCAGGACTACACACAGTATGTTCCACTGTGCTGCTTTCACTTAAAGGCTAGAAAAGATAGCTTTGATCTCTTTCCTAACCTAAGCCTCAAGGATTGGTGTGGCTATACCCTAATAGCTATTAGAAGACACAGGATTAAAGGGGTTAAAAGTGACCCCCCCAAAAAAAACTGGCCTAAAGTTAGAGGATATATGATACAACAGAAGCCCCCACCTCTTCAAAGATCTCACAACTTTTACAAGGAGTAGTTATTAAAATTTTACCAAAGACACTAAAAGTTCTGGCAAACAGCATACTTATATATATAACTTGAACTAAACGTGCAAGTCTGAAACATGTGGCTGAAGTTCATCACTGACTTCCATGAACACCTCATTATCCACGAGAGTCTGTATATTTTTATCTAGTAAGTTGTCTCTTTCCAAAAATGACTGAAAAGGGATTACAGCAAAAAGACACATATAAACAAAAATATGAAAACAGAAATAGCTTTTTAAAAAAAAAATCAAGGAGATGGAAGCATAAAACAATTTTTTTAAAAAAAGAATCAGAGACATTGAGATACCCAGAAACCAAAGAAAAAGAAGTCTTTAATTACTGCATCCTTAAGAGCTCATTTCTTCCAGTACTATCAAAAGGAATGTACCACCTGGGTTCTTGTGCAAAGGAAATGGCGTGGGCCATGTACACAGCAAGTGTAATGAACACATCAGTCAGATTCATGAACACAGGCCAATATCAGAGTCAGAGTCCAGAGATAATCCCCACCAACTGCCAACGTTGTCTCAGCAATTTAATTCAATAATCATCAAACACTGACTGCATGCACATTTCATGATGGTAAGGAGACGCAAAGGTGAAGGTAACAACCATGTCCCAAAGGCACCAATAAAGACTGAAATAAAACACGCTCACAGGTAAACTTAGTTAGTATCATGGCAATGAGAACCAAAGGTGCTTGGAGAGCTCAGAGGAGGAGCGGACCAATGTAGTTTCAGGGAGGAAGCAACAGACAAGATTTTGACCGATAGGGTGAGGTGAGGGTGAGGGGACATTTCAGACAGAAGCAAATTACCAGAATAAGCACACAGGCCGGAGAGTGCAGAGCATGGTGGGGGATGCCAAGTTGTCCTGACTTAGCTGAAAAGGACACAATAAGGAATGGGAGAGGCGGGCAAACGTGCAGCCTGAGACAAGACCTTGGATACCACCCCTAAAACCCAGACTTCATTCTAAAGGTAACGAAAGTTAGCCAGAGAAGCCAACAAGAGCTGTGCTTTCACAACATTACATGGACAGTAGGAAAGACTGATGGAGGCAAAAAATACACACACACACACACACACACACACACACACACACACTGAGTGGCCAGATTATTATGACCACCCCATCAGTACAATGAAGTGAATTAGTTATGCAAATAATAATAAAACCTTGAGAGTATTTGCTTAGGAAGTTTTCAATATTCAGTATTTTTGCAAGTGTCAATGAAGTACTGATGGGGTGGTCATAATAATCTGGCTGGTCATAATAATCTGGCCACTCAGTGAGTGTGTGTGTGTGTGTGTGTGTGTGTGTGTGTGTGTGTGTGTATACAGACAATTCAGGTAAGAAGCTAATGTAATAATTCAAGCAAATGCACTAAATGCCAGAATGAAGGCAGGGGTGGGACTGGATAGTAAGGGAGCAACTGTGAAAGCTACTGCAGAGGAAGAACCAGAGAAACTAACTGGTCAGGAGCAAAAAGACGGAAGTCAGTTTGGGGCTACATCGCCTGGTAATCCATCCATCCTTGGCCTCCCCAGTTGAAATTAGGAGATTTCTCTAGGTTCCCACTGAACCTGCGCCTGCTTCTATCAGAGAGGGATACGGGCTTACTGTTGTTTACTGTCCTCTCTCCCCACTGGCCTGTAAGAAACGATCATTTAAAGGAAGAAACTATCTAACGGGAGAGTGAATGAATGAGTGAATGTTATAGCCATAATAAAGATAAGAATCTTTTAAGGAACAGAGAACGATAATATGAAAAAGTACACTCATTTAAATGCCATCCTAAATGGATGGCAGAAGGAATCTGAGTTGTGCTTATCTTTAATTATTAAAGATTTCTAAAGGTCTTGCTCAGAAGCTCAAGATTTCAAGTTTGTCTTCAGGAATTATATTCCTAAGTTTAATGTTACAATGATCTAAAATTACCTTTTAACAGAAAATACTTCCTCAGTCTAACAACAGGAAAAAATACTTTAGAGTTCCATGTGAAATATCTAAACAGAAAGCAGTTTTAAAAGAAAGTAGCCCTTGGGTTCCATTTATGTAGTTCCTTTTCCTCACAGTATCTGCCTGAAAACTAAAGAATTGAAGGATGGTCACAGTAACCAGTTTACCTTGTTTCATTTTGTTTTTTAAAAATATATATACAGCCCTAACCGGTTTGGCTCAGTGGATAGAGTGTCCGCCTGCGGACTGAAAGGTCCCAGGTTCGATTCTGGTCAAGGGCATGTACCTTGGTTGCGGGCACATCCCCAGTTGGGAGTGTGCAGGAGGCAGCTGATCAATGTTTCTCTCTCATCGATGTTTCTAACTCTCTATCCCTCTCCCTTCCTCTCTGTAAAAACATCAATAAAATATATTTTAAAAAATAAAATAAATAAATAAATACACACACACACACACACACACACACACACACACACACACACATTAGAGGCCCAGTACACGAAATTCATGCACTGGGGTGGGGGCGTGGGTGGGGTGGTCCCTCAGCCCGGCCTGTACCCTTTTGCAGTCCGGAGCCCGCAGGGAATTTGCAGTCCGGAACCCTCAGGGCCGCTCCCCACCATGGGGAGCGGGGCCTAAGCCGTCAGTCGGATATCCTTAGTGCTGCCACAGAGGCGGGAGAGGCTCCCGCCACCACCACTGCACTCGCCAGCAGTGAGCCTGACTCAGGGCTTCTGGCTGAGCGGTGCTCCCCCTGTGGGAGTGCACTGACCACCAGGGGGCAGCTTCTGCTTTGAGCATCTGCCCCCTGGTGGTCAGTGCGCATCATAGCGACCAGTTGTTCTGCTGTTTGGTCGATTTGCATATTAGCCTTTTATTATATAGGATGTTTATTTCAGGGAGGAAAGGAGAGGGAAAGAGAGATAAAAACATCAATGATGAGAGAGAATCATCAATCAGCTACCTCCTGCACGCCCCACACCAGGGATCGAGCCGCAACCCAGGCATGTGCCCTGACCAGGAATAGAATGGGTGACCTCTTGGTTCATAGGTTCAACCACTGAGTCATCCTTGCTGGGCTAAAATTATGTTATTCTAAAGGTGTCAGTTCTTTGTGCCACCCTGTGATTGCTCAGTAAGTGCTTTCTCAAGTAAGCCAAAGATATTTCTTCATGAGAAAAATCTATCTATTATCCCCAACCCCCAAAATTATCAGGTTGAGACTCTAAAATATGTTGCCACTTCTAAGCCCTTCCCAAATAATCCAAATTTTACCTGTAGTAACATTTTCCAATCTGCACTTTCCACCACCAGTCCTTGTACTGAGAATGCTCTGTGGAAAGGGCAGCCAGATCCAAGGCCTTGGAAAACAAGTCATTTTAGGTTAGGATTTTTCTCTTCTAACAATAAACAGAAACAATAAATAATGAAATCAACCATATAATTTGCATCAATCAAAGCATGCATTAGAAATCAGACAGCAACTCAAGTTGCTCATGTTTCCAGATGGCCCCAGGAATTTTCCCCAAATAATCAGTTCCAGACCAGAGGGCTGACAGCAGATGACAAGTAAACACTGCTTAAAGGGAAGCAGAGGTACAACATATTTGAATACAATTTTAATATACAAGGCACAAAAGTGGTATTTCAAAAATCCATACGTTTCCACCCTCTCCCCACCATTTATCGACTGTCTAATGATCCAAAATGCCTCCCAATTCAGTGTCAGTCAAGCCTTCAGGGTGTTAGCCCGGTCCAACTGCAGGCTCCACTTTAACAGAGACACCGAGAAACAGAAAATAAAGGAAGCAGGTAGAAAGGGGTTTGGAAAACAGGATCATGGAGAAGCTGGGGTACTGGGGTAACGACCATCTTCAAAAACCTCCATTCCATTATTCTGACATCACTTCACATTCCAATAACTCCAAAGGTCAGACTTTCCTTTGCTGCAGACTGAAAAAAATCCTCCTAGTTGCTTTCATATTTTACATGTGTTTCTCCCATCTCTCTTGTGTATTCTAGCTTGTTCCTTCTAGTGTTTATTCAAGATTTGGCAAAGAATGACTAAACAGGAATGAGAATTTTATGTAGAGGAAGTGGAAACCATTTGGATAAGAGAAAAGCAAATCCATCTTTACACAGATTTGAAGCTCATAGAAATTTGAAGCTCATGCAAAGATTTGGTGAATAAAAACTCAGGTTATTAGTTAAAAGAGAATTCTGATTTTTTTAAAGTAATACTTATTGTTCTTTCTCTCAAGGTTGAAAAACTTTTATTCTTTAAACAGTGTTAGTATAATGATGGCCAACACTTCAGTTAAAGGAACTTAGGTTTTCAGTTCTGTTATCTCAGAATATATCCCATATTATTGTCCATTTCTTAATATTAACCTTTTTCTGAAATAAATGTCAGAAATATTCCTTGGCTCTCCTACTGCAAAACTAAGAACATTTCTTTGTGTTTCCCATCTTCTCTTGCTCCAGGGGAAACTTTTAAATATGCAAACTATTTTTTTTAAAGTGGTGTCCCCACGCTGGGGTTCTAATAGACTTGAAAAATCAACACCTCTACTTGAAAGCCATAGATATTCAAAAACAAGACACATATAACTTTCATATGCTTATTTTTCTTTTTTCCCCAAGTCAGAAATAAAAATGGAAGCAAAAAATGATGGAAAAAGTGTAACTTCAATTAGCATTATCCCTGGAAATACTAGAAAAACATCTTTTCAATCAGCTAAATTCAGGGGTGTACTGTAAATATCTGCATATCTTAATTTTAACTTAACCTTTATAAAGATCTCTTCCAGCAAATAGATCAGATTCACTCTCATGTTTAATCTAATGACTTCTGTTTTCAGAAAAATGTCCTTCTAACTTTTTTACATTTTCTAACTTTCCAAGACAGGATTCGGAGCTTATTCCAGGCGACTGACTTACTCTCACATACGGCCCTGAGACAAGTCCTCCTAAGTAGGATCTCCATGTCTGTGCTAACCCAATTAAGGAAATTAATATGAATTATTGATATAAACTAAAATAATAAAGATATACATTTAAATTATCATTCTTCATATGAAGACGGAGGCTGCACTAGACAAAACCATTGGTGACCATTTCAAAAGGGCCCCAAGTTCCCTGAGGACAGGCACCCCTTCTTACACATCTCTCTTGCTGTGCTAAGAGGCCCTGAAGAATTAATTATTTATTGATTTAACTAATTCTATTCTTTATTTCTAATTTATGTTGAAAATAACTTAAGCACCAAACAAATTATAGTAATAAGATTCATATTAACAATTTTAAATTTTAAAGTGGTGACAGAAAATCTATAGTATTTCTTTAAAGTCCCAATTATTTATTTATTTTTAATTACAGTTTATATTCAATATTTTTTTGTCTTAGTTTCAAGTTTATAGCATAGTGGTTAGACAATCACATATACTTTACAAAGTACTCCTCCAATATTTCCAGTACCCACCTGGCACCATATATAGTTATTACAATATCATTGACTATATTCCCTATGCTGTACTTTACATCCCCATGACTATTTTGTAATACCAATTTGTACTTCTCAAATCCTTCCAATTTTTTCACCCAGTCCCCTAAACCCCCTCCCCTCTGGCAATCATCAGTCTAATGTTCCAATTTTTAAAAATAAATGACTATATATTTAAGTATCTTTGACTAATTTAACCAATACAGAATCTCAATATCAAAGGCTCAGAAGATCATAAATAAAAGCCATAAATGTATAGAAGTCCATATGCAGAGTCTTCAGCAGAGCTACACATCCTAATGGTTGTTGAAATGTCCAACTGAGCACCCCAATTGATTTCCTAATAGTGCCCCAACCACTAATGTTAAAAAAAAAAAAAAGAGTCGTCCTTTCACTATTGTTACAGTTGCGACAACTTCAGGATGATGAAATTAAAGAGCATTTGGAAATAAAGATTCCTGAATCACCAACTTTATTTTGTCAATGCTGTCAAATTGCCCCAAAAAGGAAGGGGAGGTAGGGGAGATGTTAAGAACTCCAAGGCAGAAAAACAGTTTCCATAGGACAACTTTACTTTTCCTTAACATTGAAATATCACTTCATAATATTCTCTAAAGTTATCTACAGTATTCTCCATATCTGTCTATGGACAAATACAGAATCACCAACCCACATGCCATTCTAGATTTGTTAATATTGGCTTCCCCCCCCAAATGAAAAAAGTATTAAGAATTCAAAGACAGAAATATAGTTTTCCATAGAAGATCAACTTGATTTTTCTTGACATTTAAATACCATTTTACAGTAGTTATCTAATATTCTCAAAATTTGTGTGAAATAATTTATTTACAAAAAAATTTGGAGGCCACCCAAGTAACCAGTATAAAAGCACCTCTGATTTCTTCAGCATGTTGAAAAACAGAATTCCCTTTTTTCCCCAGCTAAGTTGCAAAACATTCATTAAAAAAAAAAAAAAGAATGCTTCTGGTTCATTATTTAAATTCTTCTTCCATTCAGAAAATAACATTTTTTTAAAATATATTTTATCGATTTTTTACAGAGAGGAAGGGAGAGAGATAGAGAGTTAGAAACATTGATGAGAGAGAAACATCGATTAGCTGCCTCCTGCACATCTCCTACTGGGGATGTGCCCGCAACCCAGGAATCGAACCCGGGATCTTTCAGTCCGCAGGCCAACGCTCTATCCACTGAGCCAAACCAGTTTCGGCCAGAAAATAACATTTGAGGGAAAATCTAAAATGACATTTTAGCCCTAGCTGGCTCAGCTCAGTGGGTAGAGCATCCGCCTGTGGACTGAAGGGTCCCAGGTTCAATTCCAGGCAAGGGCACATGCCTGGGTTGCGGGCTCGATCCCCAGTTGGGGGTGTGCAGGAAGCAGCCGATCAATGATTCTCTCTCATCATTGTTGTTTCTCTCTCTCACTCTCCCTCCCTCTCTGAAAGCAATAAAAATATATTTTAAAAAATAATAAAATAAAATGACATTTTAATGGAACAATCTGATTCAGAACAGAATTATAATGTGGCAAGCCCATACCAGTGGAAAATAGATACAGGGAT